AACCCTAAAACCCCTAAACCCTGAAATCCTAAAATCCTTAGAGCGCTAAAGTCTTAAATCCTAAGCCCTTACCCAAGCCCTAAAGCCCTAAATCCTCAAACCCCAAAACCCCAACACCCCCCCAGGCCTTCACGCACCAACGACCGTCATCCAATCGGATCCGCTCACGAGTCCATACCCGGCAGAGCTCGCTCTCCTCGGTCTCGGGTTTTGGGGTCCAGGGCTTTAGGGTTTAGGGTTTCGGGTTTTGGGCTAGGTTGGCCGGATCAACAAGAGAAAATACAGAATGTCCCAAAGGCCTACCTAGCCTCAATCTCTTTCAGCAAAGCCGTCCGCTGCTGTGACTTCAGCCGAAACCAGTAGCAAAGACAAATGGCCACGTAGAAGGCTTTAAGCAGAAGCGCTTGCTTGTGCTCTTGCTCCTCTGGCAAGCGAATGTCGTTTTGATGCTCTAGCTTTCGTAGGTAGTAAGGAACCAAGTTGGCAACTCTGCGCACGTCCCTCAGCGAAACTGCTGCAATGTCATTCTCGCTGCGAAGGAAATTGTGGCAGGCAAGCACCTGAGCGGATTCCGAACCCCTTGTTGAAACATGCTTCATCAGGTAAATGAACCTTGTTCGGTTTTCAAGCAACCTAAGGAGCAGTTTTCAGGCATACAATGAACTTAGGAGGAGCCTCAACCTGGGTTTAGAACCAGTATGATGTCAAGAGCAACCAAAGCACCACGGACACCATGCAACAGTGCATCGGGCGTTCCTCCAGCGACTGGAAGGGCAAAGCCTTGAGGATCGCTTGAACGTAGCGCTTCTCTTCTGTCTTGCTGAGCATGCCAAAGTCCCAGGCAGACATGATCAGGGACTGTGGCAAAGGATAGACCGCATAAACGAGATCTGCAATCGGCAGCGGGCATGAAAGCTTGTCTGAGATGGGCGCCAACTCAAGACCACCAGTTTCGTGGCACTTGGATTTCTTACGGTAGGGGTTGCATGCTGCGAACACCCTCAGATTCGAAGGCAGCGTGCAGCCGCGCATGGACTTGTCACAAACGAGCTCGCGAAAGAGGCCGACGCAGCTAGCAGTGTTGATCTCATCCAAAAACACCCAGACCTTCCATTTGCTGTCACTCTTAGCCAGAAAAACAGCGTCTGAGACAAACTTAACAATGTCGTCCTCTGTGAGGCCCCCGTGCACATCCAGAACGAAATCAGCAATCCCAAGGAACTTGGCCAAATACCGCACGACGGCACTCTTGCCGCAGCCGGACTCCCCCATCAGCACTGTGGGCACCCCCGAGTCAATTCGAGTATACAGCGCTGACATTTTCATCACTGTATCCACCGTGAGTGCGAAGCCTCTGAGTCCCGGTTCATTACCCAGGCCGCGGAGCACATCAGCCAGCTGCACCGAATAGGAGCAGACCCCTAGGAGGTTGTTCAACAAGATCTCAAGTTCTCCAGGCACTCCTGGCGTACCGGAGTCCTCGACTTTCGAGTAATCGATCATGCTGAATCCATAATTCTCCCAGTAGTTCTTCTCCTTCTTGTGGTTACGCTGCTTCTCCAAAAAGCCCCACGAGCGCACGATAGGGTTGAAGCCCGAGTCGTGGGCGTGGTGAGGTTTGAGCACTCGATGTGCCTGGCAAGGCTTGGTGGTAATTTCTTTGTTGAGACTTGGGTCCCATAATTCGGAACGGGCTCCATGTCCGTGCATCTATGAAGTTTAAACACGCACCGAAAACACAACCAAGCCCTTCCCCACCTACCGGCACACACACACACACGAACAAACAAGCAAGCAAGCAAGCAAGCAAACAAGCAAGCAAACAAGCAAGCAAGCAAACAACCAACCAACCAAACCAAACCAAACCGAACCGAACCGAACCGAACCGAACCAAAGCATAGCAAAGCAAACCAACCAAACAAACAACCAACCAACCAACCAACCAACCAACCAAACAAACACACACACACACAGACAGTCAGACAGTCGAGCAAGCAGGCAGCCAGAGAGACACAGAGAGAGACAGACAGACAGACAGACAGACAGACAGACAGACAGACAGACAGACAGGCCGACAGACAGACCGACGGACAGACAGTCAGACAACAGACAGACAGACAGACCGGCAGACCGACAGACCGACAGACAAGACAGACAGACAGACAGACAGACAGACAGACGGACAGACGGACAGACGGACAGACGGACAGACGGACAGACGGACAGACGGACTGAGGGACAGACGGACAGACGGACAGACGGACAGACCGACAGACCGACAGACCGACAGACAGACAGACAGACAGACAGCCAGACAGCCAGGCAGGCAGACAGGCAGACAGGCAGACAGGCAGACAGGCAGACAGGCAGACAAGCAGACAGGCAGACAGGCAGACAGGCAGACAGGCAGACAGGCAGACAGGCAGACAGGCAGGCAGGCAGGCAGACAGGCAGACAGGCAGACAGGCAGACAGGCAGACAGGCAGACAGGCAGACAGCCAGACAGACAGACAGACAGACAGACAGACACACACACACACACAAACACACACGTGCGCGTG